ATATTTTTATTGTACATAAATGAATAACCCAATATCATAAGCTATATTTGTAAAAAAACTTTTACGGTACATATATGTAACAATTGTGCATAGAGAAAATGTTTTGACCATTTAGTGATCTTGAATAAGGATGATTATACTGAACTCTGTGTAATGCAAGAAAATCAGGAAACTTTGATTAACTAAATGATGAATGTTCCAGTTAGTAATATATTTGATAACTCTGCTACTAAAAATTAGCTAAAATATATATATATACAAAAAGGTAGTCTTGAGTGATCACTAGTAGTTGCAGGAAGATATATATACTAATAATAAAAATAATCTAAGGTTTTTTTTTATGTAAATATGATCTTTAAAGAACCTTCTAACCTAAAAGAGTTCTAATTTTTCATTAGCAACTTATAAGTGTATGACTAAATATACTGTAGTATGATTGTTGAAGCTCATTCCTGGCATTACAGTTTCTAAAGACAGTATTTCAACTTGTTTTCACAGTTGTACATGATACAAAATAATTCAACAAACGAACATAATGCACATCTTAACATTTTTTCAAGAATGTTTTTGTATGTATTTGAATGTGAATGCAGTTGTCCATCTGTAACAGCTAAAATGGTCATAGTAACAAGGTGGTTCTAAGCAGTTTTTAAACTTTACTTCAGTTCTTTCTTTCACAAATGATATAAGGAATAGCAAATAAAAAGCTAACTAGGTATCTAGATGGTTAGAAATTGACTCAAAATTAAATTTACTATTTTATAATATATTGACAAAAAGACTGTCTACCACTTAACTGGAATATAGCTACTACTTTAAGTAACAGAACACACAGTGGTTATATTAACCAAACCACTGACACTTATAACTATTACCCAACTGCCAGGGTTTCAATCTTTGCCCATCTAAGCATTGGTCTGATTTTTTCTTGTTTGTTTCAATTTTTCATACCCCCACTCAATTGCCCTTGACGATATATTCTCCACCTACCTTAATGTGCCCTCTATCCTTGTACTGTATATAAGCACTTCATTCAAATTATGTTATCACTTTTATGATAACATCGGTTTTAGTGGGGAGGATGGGCGGGAGAGTGTCAGTTGAGGTAAGTATTATTGGAAATACATTTTCAATGTAGGAAAATGTTAACTTCCAAAACACACTTTCCTCCACTGCTACTTATAGCTAGAATGCCACATTGAGAAGGTGGAGGAGCTGGTGAGGGCAATATCCAAAGAGAAAGCATCTGCATAGATCAGGAGTGTACCAAGGTAAGATTAGTACCCAAGTGGGGATACCACACTACATCCAGAACAGGTATGCTCTTCACCCTGAATTTAGTTCCTGTATCAAGGGTGGAATAGTATACAAGTAATCATCATTACAGGCCAGCCCCAACCAGATAGCCAGGAAAAAGAGAGAGTTCAAATTCTCTCAAGACCATCCTGGATCATTGATAAAAATAGCCTCACACCCCCTAGACCAAATATATGTCTCCATCTCACAACAAATAAGGTCACAGACTGAGAGTGACTCCCCCTGACCTTTGAGAGATACTAGATAACAGAGGTAGAAACAGTAACCTTGACTGAATAATGGCATGTTGCAATTTCTTTTTCTTAATTATTAAATATAATTTATACAGAAAGCCACTAGATGATGCAAAAATCACAACCAAGTATTTTAATTACCACTGCACTTGTGTAGAAAAACCCATGTCTAAATGCTTTGTCAAGAAAAAGTGATAAAACTATCTAAATGAGGTGCTTATATACAGTCCCAGGATAGATGGTGCATTGATGTAGGTGAAGAGTATATAGCCAAGGGCAATTGAGTGGGGTATAAATGACTGAAGCAAGAGAGGAAAAATTAGACTAATGCCTAGATGGGCAAAGATTGAAACCCTGGCAGTTGAGTAATAGCTATAAGTGGTAACAGAGGTAAGTGTGTTTTGGAATTATGAATCTCTAGCTATTAGGTGTTTAGTCTATGAACTGTTTGTTTGACAAAGCTTTATCCTCAAAGTGCAACTTCTCAGTTCATATCTGACTGATGAAGTTCTTATCAGTTATAATATCATTATGTTTTAACATATAGTTATTTTTGATATGTATTACATTGATCCTGTATTTAGTATGAATTATAGAAATGAAAATCTTGGATCAAAGAAAAGTTTATTTCTGACTATCTGGAATGTATAATATTTGAAAACAGATGAATTAAACTACATATATATATATAAAACAAGTGAGTACCATGAATAACATAGACTGCATTTCCCACAATCTTTCCTCCTAAACCTCATAGATCATGGCCTTACCTTCTAGCAGTCTAACATTGTGAATTCTACTAGCATGTACTCCAATATTTTCTGCAAGATGAATCTGGACATGGTTTATAAATCCCTGCTGCTTTCTCATCTCACCATTTAAGTTGATTAGAGTTATCTGAACTGTAACTGGATTAGTATCTGGATAATATAAACAGGAAATATGTAGTTGAGAAATTATGGGAAACAAAAAATATCACACTAACTCAATGAATTTTACTTTGTTACCAAAGTATTATGTTATTATAAAAGTGTACATATCTTTCCATAACAGAAAGCCTTTCAGGTTGACGTAGGTTTAAAATGTGACAAAACACACCAAACTATTTTACTTTTTAAACTTTTAAAAAATTTACTGATGAGTACCATGTCTATAATTCACAGATTTTAACAGCAAGATATATAACATTAGGTGAAATTTTTTAATGAAATAAAAACGAAAATAATGGTTTGAAAAGTGCCTTTGCAAACTTTGTTTGTATTGGTATAAAATGTCTTATTTCAAACATTTCTTCAAGAGATGTAGACAACCACAGGCCTAGTTACAAATTTGGTATGCTATATTTACAATGTGTAAGCACTTATGATATGGAATAATTTTTACAAAGCCATATAAGTTGGTTCAACAACATGCACTAGTAAAAGCATTACCTAAAGTTAGCATATTTTATGCTATAGCATTATGAAGAAAACAACAAAAATTTCATAGTTTTGACCTTACTAGTAGATATCTGTAACTAGGTCATGTAGAAAGGGTGGTGGTTATACTGGCCAGATAATAACATTGGAGTCTAGCTTTTGACAACGGTCTCATGAGGTCATTGTGATACACATTAAGAGTGGACAATATTTTATAAATGAAATAATTCTCATAATGTTTAAAATTTAAGGAAGAAAAACAAGATGATTTGGTGTTAAGTGTTTTGTAGTCAGTGGTGTCACCATTATCCATTTTAATATGTTTAAAAATAAAACATAGTTTCATTGTAATACTTGTTTTTGTTATAACAGAAAATATCCAGATCTTTCTCTTACACATTAAAACAAGCTTATGCACATAAATGATTCTGCAACCCTTGTTCATACTGGTAGTCAGATTGAATCATGTCATCTACAGAATGCTTGTCCAGACAGAAATAAAGACAGTAGTCTTTGATAAAGTGACAGAGATTTCTTGCTAGTCTGAAAACTGCATCACAGACATAGGTCATGTCTGGAATGATTATATCACCCATTTGCTTACTACCAGCAAATTTGCTTAGGTATTCCAACACCCAAGAACAAAAAAAAGTAAAGGATTATTTAGCTATTTTTATTTCATGATGTGAAACCCGTAAAAGGAAATTTATAGTTATTAGTCACACAACAAACTCCAGAAGCTCAAGAGTGTAAAAAAAGAGCAGCAACATGGGTTTTGTCAGCATATGTTCTGGACATTCACAAATGGACAAGACATCCTCAATGATGGAAATTTCTATGGTGAGCTAGAACACATTTCTAAAGAATAAAACAGAAACAGAAGAATACTCTTTACGAACAAATGCTTGCAGCAGATAAAAAAGAATAACACTTAACAACAAGGCTAAAACAATTTGACAATGATAGTGCACCTTTCTTTACAGTCATTGTTGATAGTGGGTGGAGTCAAGAAACTTAAACACCGATACAGTGCAAACTCTGGTTATTTTTGGAAAAATGACTTAAAAATGCTTATTTATCAGAATCATGAGTAAATATTGCTGTATCTGTGCAGTTAATGATGAAAAGAATATAAAGAATCATCACTTATACTATAAAATTGGGATGAGTAATGACAATGGAAGCAAATATAATAATGGAGGGATTGAGACAAAATGAAGAAATGCACATTGTTCAATTCCTTAGATTTATTGTAGATGGTGATTCTAATGTGCATAAAAGAATTATTGAAAATGTAAAGTATGATTATAAAGCTTTAAAATGTATTAATCATGCTGTGTGTTACATAACATTGTCAAAGAGATTGCTAAAAATCCCCATGCCCTTTCAATTCTTAGAATAAAGACCTAAGAAAGATAGCAAGGATTTTGACAATAACATTATTTTATTCATGTCCTGAATTCATGTGACTAAACTAATGAATACAGTTGAGGGAGAAACTCCTACAGAAATAAATGCCAACTAGGGCCAAATTGGCATTATGTAGCCTAGAAATCCTTCAAGCTCAAAAGACCAAATATTGTTTTAAAAAATATATATCCAATGCATTGCTATAAGCAGAGAGATGGCTTTTAACTTTAGAAGGAAAAACATCTTGAATGGATCCAAAAATGAAAACAATTCTAGCATGTTAATTTCATTCTATAATATGGATTATGAAAAATATGATAATCAACCAAATAAAGCATCAGATTTAATTGTCAAATTCAAAGAAGAAAAACTGAAACAGTTGCAAGTATCTATAGAACAATGGAATAAACTAAAAAAATATACCAATGTTCAATATAAAAATATCATCTGGTAACATGAGAAATACCATGGACTGATAGCATCCATCTTCTATAACAACTTACCAGAAGAAAGTGAAAAATCTTCTATACAGTACCAATATAAATACATCAGCTATGGAATATGGGAAAGCCTGCGAACATCTAGCTATAGTAGATTATGAAAAATGTGAATTATTTTCAGATTTGGAACACAGATTTCTTGCAGCTAGTTTTGACTGTCTTGTCAGGTAATACAGAATTTTAGAAACCAAATGTCCCAAAACTGCAGAGTACATGACTTCTGAGGAAGCACCAGTAAAGATGAAAGGGTTCTTCTGCACTCCAGAGAAAGGCTGTCTCATACTGAACACTAACCATGACTATTACTACCAAGAGCAAGGAGAACTATATTTTAGTGAAAGAAATACTGTGATTTGATTGTATAGACACCATTAAATATATTAGCAGAAGAAATAGTATGATTTCATTGTAAGACACCATTAATTATATTAGTGGAAGAAATACTGTGATTTGATTGTATAGACAACATTGATTATACTAGTGGAATAAATACTGTGATTTGATTGTATAGACAACATTAATTATACTGGTGGAAGAAATACTGTGATATGATTGTATAGACAACATTAATTATACTAGTGGAATAAATACTGTGATTTGATTGTATAGACAACATTAATTATACTGGTGGAAGAAATACTGTGATTTGATTGTATAGACAACATTGATTATACTAGTGGAATAAATACTGTGATTTGATTGTATAGACACTATTAAATATATTAGCAGAAGAAATAGTATGATTTCATTGTAAGACACCATTAATTATATTAGTGGAAGAAATACTGTGATTTGATTGTATAGACAACATTGATTATACTAGTGGAATAAATACTGTGATTTGATTGTATAGACAACATTAATTATACTAGTGGAATAAATACTGTGATTTGATTGTATAGACAACATTAATTATACTGGTGGAAGAAATACTGTGATTTGATTGTATAGACAACTATTAATTATACTAGTAGGAATAATACTGTGTATTTGATTGTATAGAACAACTATTTGATTATACTAGGTGGTAATAATACTGTGTATTT